AAGGTCATTCGGCGTTCTGCGCCGCTGTCTTCTTCCTCGTCTTCCTCCTCTTCCTCCTCTTCCTCCTCCTCCTCCTCGTCCTCCTCCGGTTGAATGTTAGTCTTGCAGCTTTGCCCTTTGAGGCCGGGTTCGCACGTGTACCTCTTAATGCGATGGCCTTCGGGCGCCTCGGCATGCGGACGTCGTCGCGCTCGTGGCGCGCAGGCGGCATCGTCATGATATTGATTGCTATCCTCTTGCGTCCCAGTCGCTGTGTTTTTTGCCCTCCCCTCTTCTTCCTCCTCGTCTCTCGCCTCCTCTGAGCACTTGCTTCTCGGGTATTTGTATACTTGCCCCTTTTCCCGAGTGCGACTGTGGTTGGGCATGCCCGTCGCCTCCCCGGCCGCTGTGTCGCTTTACCAGGCTGTGCTTGGGGGGGCGGTGCTGTGCCTCGGGGCGTGGAGGGGGGGATGCACTGACGAGCCCTTGACCGCAGCTAGTGTAACCTAGACGCGGCCCGGAACCCTGGCGCGCGGCGCTGCCCGGTTCTCCGGGGAGAGCGGCGGTTTTCGGGCGGCGTCCTCCCGCCGCGCTCGCCTCATTCATGTTGTGCCAGCAGGGGAGGGAAGGGGTGTGTAACACCACCGCCTATCCGTCGTCGGCTGCCGGGCCCAGATCTGCATTCGCCGGGCAGTTCTGAGTCGCAGCGACTGGGGGCCGGGCGCTGGCGCCAGCGGCCGGGCGCCGGCGCGCGCACCCCAGACGCTGTCGAGATGCGAAATGCGAAAAAATGTGAGAGGCTGACATGGGCATGACAACCGCAACTTCTGCCTTTCTTGCAGCCGAAACACCGCCTCGCCTCTGTCCGTGAACTCCCGCATATATACTCGAAAATCGCAGCCGCTCAAATCCCGTAGCTCCTCATGTAGTCCCGGGGCGCGGGCGCGCAGCCAGTGCGGCTACGCGAACGCGCTGGCCTTGATGACATCTGCAGGAGAGCTCCATGAAGGAGGCTACATGGTAAGATCCCCAGATCCTGCTCCATCCGCAGCTTGCCCCATCTCGTCCACGAAGCTCCGCGGCCCGTTCCCGCGGGGGCCGGACAGTTCGCCCCAGGTAGCGGATTGCTGCGCTGATCTCTTCGGTCCATTGAAGAATCCATCCCTCGTGCGTAGGAACCAGATGGACCTCGAGAATCGCCAGGTCGGAGTCCTCGATTTTCTCGTCTGAATACGCGTGGACACTCGGGAGCGCTGCGCTGATGGCCTGCGCCGCCCAAAGACTTGGTGCTCCGCCTGCGCCTTGTCCCAGATCGCCCCCATCGTCGCGGCGCGGTTCCAGATCGCTGCGACGTAAGTGCTGCCATCGGTCTGGCACCGCTGCTTGTGAACATGCATGTTTGGGATAGCGCGCGCGACAGTTGCGGTCCACCTGTAGCTCGACAGTGCAGGGGCGCAGGTTCATCTCGGGGCCGACGTCGGACGACAGGTGCACCGCGCGATCGGCGCAGGAGGCGCGGCGGAGTGCCCCTTCGCAAAAGACGCCGAATATGTTTTCGCGGTTCGAACGTCCCGGCTTCAGCTCGAACGCGCATTTCTTGCTCCAGGTAGAAGCCAAGCTGGCGCCGTGGAAGTCAGTCTCGATTTAGGCCTCTTTATTGCGGGGTTTCTTGTCATGCTGCATCTCTCTAGCACACGCAACTGGCGTCTCCATGGCCCACCGCTGCCCAGCTGGATGCGCAAGTGGACCCTGCGCCACAGGCCCATCGACGAGTCCCGAGAGATGCTCGCGAGTAAAGCGGGATCATTTGGCCACTTCAGTGTCCCAAAAATGAACCTCCAGATTCTGTGCACGGGGTTAGAGCACAAAGGTACAGAACCCCTGATCCGCAGGTAGAGGAAGGAGGGGGAGGTGGAGATCGATTCCCCCCTGGTCGATCAAGAATATGATCAGCGCCAGCACCTGAGCCCAAACGGCCAGGAGACAGGAAAGTAAGGAGTATATACGAGGGTATTACACGGGTTCATTTCACACCCCCCGCCCCGAATCCCGCCCGCAAGGGCAGGGCTCGGGAAAATGAGGAAAGAACCCGTCACCCTTTATCTCCTTAGGACTCGCAGGCAGCAAAGCGCAAAAGTATGTAGCGCCTCAGCTGCGTCCCGGACGCATCAGCAGCGCGCAAGAGCACGCGGCACATCCGCTGGTGTGATCGGGCAGGGCGAGGGCGACGGGGCACCTGTGGCCCCTCTTTCTTCTCCGAGCACGCATTGGCGCCCCCCTCGGTGCGCCCCCAAAAAACGCTTCGGCACTCGAGGGTGGAGAAGAATGGGGCGCGGGTGGGCGGGGAAAGAGGATCTGAGCAATCTAGAACAACACCAACAATACTGCGGCGTCAAAGACACAGCAGGTGTCGCCACCAGCCATCAAACTAAAACTGGCGCCAGATCATTGTCAACGCCCCCTCGTCGTCAAGGCGGAAATTGTCGCACAGAGGAATCAAACAATCAAGATGAATTCAGCGTCGTGTTGACAAACGCGAAAAGTTGTACAAACAAGCTCTGCGCGGAGTTATTCCCCTTGGCAACGCTCCTAAGGAGCGCGCCTCGGATTTCGCCAGAATCTATGTAAGAAGCCACTTATCACAGGTAGTGAAATGGCAAAAGTTCGCGTGGTTGTTTACTGCCCGAGGTGAGCTCATAAAAAAACAAGGTTCGAGCATGCTCGAGCAGTGGGCCTTGCGGCCGACGTTACTGGGCATTGCCACGCACGTAGAACTCACTGGCCCAAACACGATGGCCATCGATTCCAACGAAACTGGTCGCGCACGTTGCCCAAGGCGTCCTTGGGGCCCAGTTGCGGAAACGATGATTGTACTGCAGATCGCGGATGTAGACGAACTCGTCATTGTTCTCCGCGATGTACATCCAGCACTCGTTGTAGTAGCTCCAATACCTTGGGCCCCACTGGCTGCCCTCAAGGCGCTGGCGCCACCGCGCCGCGTAGTCAGCGGCGGTGCGCGCCCGCTTGGCGCGCGGGGGCGTCACTGGTCTACGGGCGCCAGTGCTGCTGTCGGCTGGCTGCCAGCCGCTCGGCCGTGGGGCGTCAGCAGCGCCGCCACTCCGCCCAGCGGGCGTCGCTGCCAGCGCGCCAGAGGCGCGGCTTCCAGCAGCATCGCCGCGGGCAGCACGAGGCGGCGGCGCCGTGGCGTCATGTAGCAGGTGTATGTATGGGGGTGGTATCAAGATCGGTTCTGGCCCCTGAACCCTTCCCCCCTTGGCCAGTTGATCCCACGGCAGGTCCGACAGAGGCGGCTTTGGCCAGGGTGCGCCGAGTGGTTTTGTCATAAGTGCCGTCCCCATCGGGAACGGCAATCGTGACAAGACCACGTTCCTGCCTGGTGCCTCTGTCCATCCTGCCCTCATTCAACCACCAATTCCTGCGACCGGCGAGTCCAAGCATTTGGCTGCGGTAATGGATGCCGCATGCCTCGCGCATGTCCTCGACGGCCCAGGGCGCCTGGCCGACAGCCTCGCGGGCTCCGGTAATTTGGTGGTGGAATCGAGAATCATTGAGGTACCGCTGGATGACGTTGCGGAAAGGATAGTATAAGGGGCGGTCGTCGTCGGGCCCCCCTATGAGCCTGCGTGCGCTTGCAGGTGGGGAACCCGCTTCGCACCACCTGTTATACCTCTCCTCAGCCTTCCCAGAGGTCTTGTGGTGCAAAAAAACCGCACCCCAGCGAAGGGACACAAAAAACAAAAAAAGAAACAAATTCTAACTTGCCGCGGCAATTCTTCGAAACAAATCGTCGCGCTTTTTTTTTGCGCGACAAAAGATAAGGCGCACCATCAAGAAAAAAGGGGGCACCCGCCAAAGTCCGGGACAAAAAAACACAGTTGTTGCGGGTTCGCATACAAGTGTTTACACGTGTGGATGTGTACATATATATATATATACATACATGCATATACAGTTAAATACATGTATATACAACTGTATATATATATGTACCTATATATGTGCATACATCTATCAGAAGGCGGCGGGGCTCTACAGAAGCCCTCGTGCCTTTGGGCAAGTTTTCTGCGTCGTCTTTGGAAGGCTATATATATATACTATATATATATATCCAAACCAGGACGGGATTCGTTAGCCAGAACGCGCGCGCTATACTCGATCGGTTGGCCACGACAAACCCCGATTATGCCGGAACGCCGCTATAGCCCCAACCACTTTACGGCGGAGTGGCGTAGGTCATTCTGGTTATTCTCATACTGTTTCTCTTTCTTCGTGTGTTTCTTGCGTTGTGTATTGTAATGCGGCTATATATGTATCCTCTCCTCCTCCTCCTCCTCCTCCTTCTCCTCCCCCTCCTCCCCCTCCTCCTCCTCCTCCTCCCCTCCTCCTCCTCCTCCTCCTCCTCCTCCTCCCCCCCCCCCCCCCCTCCTCCTCGCCCCCCTCCTCCTCCAGGGGCCCCCGCAGGGCCGAAAGAGCCCTCCTCCCCCCGAGCAGCGCAAGGGGGGCGTGGGCAGCCAAAAACCTCGCGCCGTCGCCGCCGTCCGTTGCCAGCCGCCGCCCGCGATCGCAGCGTATCTCGACCGCCGCCGCCACCGTTGTCCGGCCCTGTCGCGCCTCGCGCGCGGCCCCCCCGACGGGCCCCCGCGGGATCCGCCGAGCCAGAGGGGTGAACGGGGAGAGAAGGGAGAGGATTGGGAAAGCGAGGGGGAGGTGACTGGGGAAGAGACGGAAACGAAGAACGGTAGAGGAGGGAGTGTGATATATGGGGATTGGCAGGGAGTGGACATAGAGGGTTTGGCAGGATGGCTGCACTCGGGGATTGGAGCGCGGCCCCAGGTGGGTCTGACACTCGCGTTTCGGTCAACCGCAAAAGATGAGCGGCCTCGCATCACGCACCCAAGCTTTCAAACCACTCGTGCAGCGTCGTTCGTGCCTCGAGGCTTGCATCGAAAGCCACTTATCATCAAATCGCGCCTCGAGGCATGATAAATTATTCTGATACTCTATGGGGCCACCCTCCCCGACATAGCACAGGCGAGGCCGATGCCGAGGCAAGGCACTGACATTGCATTGCCTGATGCCTTGATTGCGCCCCACTGCGCTGTAAACGTCGAGTGCAAATCAAACTCGGGAGGGTAGCCGAGCAGCAGAAAACGCTCCTTCAGGGTGAGGAACCTCTGGAACTTCGGAGGCTCCACGGCCTCGATGCACAACCTATTGTTACGAGTTGTCAAGCGCGGAATCGCACCGAAACGAATCTCTGCGCCACGAATTTTACCAGGAGCCCGACTCAAGTCAAATGCGCAGATCGTGTCAACTCCCACCGTCGAGTTGCCATTCGCGCGGTCCTGCATCACCTGCCTGTAGTGTTTCGAGTTTGCAACCTGTCGACGACGACGACGACGACGACGACGCGACGACAACGACGGACGACTTAGGACGGACGACGACGACGACGACGACGAACGACGACGACGACGACGACGACGACAACGGCGACGACGACGACGGCGGCGAAGACGACGACGACGACGACGACGACGACGGCGACGACGGCGGCGGCGACGACGACGACGACGACGACTACGACGACGAAGGGGGCGCAAATGCTCGACCCCCTGTCCGTCACTCCCTCCATCTCGCCCTCCATTGCCCCATCATCCCTCCATCCTCTTCTTTCCTCCTCCCTGCCTCCTCCTACTTTCCTGCCCTTCCTCCTATCTCCATTCACTTCCTACCTCCACGTGTCTGCCTCTCTGGGGGTCTGGATCGTTTTGCCAACCTGTTTAGCCGTCAGCTTCGACTCGTCCAACGCGGGAACGTCGATGTCTAAGAAATCGTGCAGCGAGGGGAGCTGGAACCTAGTGTCACAGGGCCTCACTTTCGGCATGATGTCGCGAAACGCGCTGATCCGCCTGCCACATAGGTAGACCCTCGCAGGGAGGTGGGAAGGCGCTCACGGAGGAGGAGGAGAAGGAGGAGGAGGAGGAGGGGGAGGAGAAGGAGGAGGAGGAGGGGGAGGAGGGGGATAATGAGAAGGAGTTGGATAAGGAGGAGGACGAGGAAAGGATGAGAGGAGTCCTTGGCCTGCTCTGGGGCAGCCCGTGGTAGATGGCGTCTGTGCGCCAGATCCACACCATCCACGTGTTGCCGAGCCTGTCCTTCAGCTGCTGCTCGGCGTACTCCATTGGACAGTCTCCGCCATGGCCCCCCTCCGCCATGCCCCCGACGTTCTCGAGCGAGAAGGCCGTCGACGCCTTCGACGGGCGCTTGGCCTGGTCGACGACTGCACCGATGGCGCATCCGAACGGCTTGCTCCTCGGGTCACCCCAGCCTTTTCCTCGCGCTGGCGAACGTCGAACGCCGAGGGTCAACGAGGAAGGCGCCGCCCACGCGCACGGCTTGCTCGACGCCGAACGGTGCCGGACAGGCTGCAAACAGGGCGCGGTGCCTTCCTCGATGGCCCTCGGGCGTTGATTCGTCCGCTGTGTCCTTGGCCAGCCTTGCTAAAAGGGTGGGCAGGGCGGTCCAGCCGCGATCAGCTGCGCGCCAGGGTACTCCGAGCTCTTGATCTTTGCGATGTCCCCCTTCTTGCCGACGAACACCTTCGCGAGCGCCCCGTCGTCGTGGACCTTCGCAATGGGAAGCTTCAGGCGGTCCCACACGTCGTAGCTCAAGGTGTTCGGCTTCATCCCGATCTCCCGCAGGGCTACTGTCGCTGTCTCCAAGCCACAACAGAGACTGAGCACCGTGACCTCCTGCCCCTGCAAAGGCGCTATCTCCCCCTTGGCCCGCTGCTGCCGCGTGCAGTCGAGATGGCCGAAGTTCCATTTGCGCCTCTTGAGCTGCCTGGGATTTGCTGCTGGACGGCCGCCCGCATCGCGAGCGCTCGGTTTTCTGCGCACTGGCAATGAAAGCATACTGGTCGATGGCTGCAGCTCGCCTCTGAAATGCTTGCAGCCTGAACATTGTCGGAACAAAAAACAAAGGGCGGGTAAGACAAATCACAGCATAGCCTCGAAATGCACATCTAGCGGATTGATGCCGCAGTAGGCCCCATCCCGTGTAAATAAAAAGAAGAGGAGGGGGATGAGGAGGAGGAGGAGGAGGGGGAGGAGGGGGGGGGGAGGAGGAGGAGGAGGAGGGGGGGAGGAGGAGGAGGGGGGGGGGGGGGAGGGGAAGGGGAATAAGTGCCCCGTGGGACGGGTAGGGGCGAGAGAAGAGGAGGAGGGAGGATACTATCACGGCATGCCATGCATGTGGATTCAGGGGCGAGAGCGCCAGTGCCGTCGCAGCCGCCTTCCTCTGATATGTAGCACCCCGCAATTGCGGATGAGAGCGAGGGGGCGGGCGCGGGGTGGGTCGCGGGCGGGCCGCGGGCGGGTCGCGGGGCGGGTCGCGGATGGGGCGGCGCCAAACAATCAAACAAACAAACAAGCAGGCAAGCAAACAAACAAAAAAACCAAACAAACAAACAAGCAAGCAATCAAGCAATCAATCAAG